TGTATATATATATAGTATAAACAAAAGTTTAATGGTAATTTCACTTAAAATTTTCCGAGCTTAACTGTAGCCGAGCTCGAGTATTTGATTTCGAGTCGAGCTCGAGCTATTGTAATCTCTTATCGAGTCGAGCTCGAGCCTCATAAATTGAGATCGACGAGCTCGAGCTCGAGCGACTAAAAAAAATCAATCTTACTCGAGAAGGCCAATGCTCGACTCGGCTCATTTGCAGCCCTAGTTCGGGCAGTTGAGCAGCCCATCCGAGCAATCTAAGTACCAATATATCACTCTTGTATAAAGGGGTGAGGTACACACTCTACAAGCTTATATGCACTCTTTATCGTCTTCCCCGTCATTGTGGACTGACTCGAACGTCGGATTGCTAACATGGAGAACACCTCCAGGCCCATGTCTTTGAACCGGCAGATCCAGGTCGTTCAAGCCCAGCCGAAGCCCTTTTACACACCAGACTCGATGAAGCTCAAATAGATTTTTCTCGTTTAATAAACCTAAAACCTTAAACGAGTTGTTTGTGAATATAAAATATTTTTGCAAACAAGTTCAACGCAATTGTGTATTTTATGAAAATACATAATAAAAAAATAATTAGTTCATGAACAAACTCATTTTAATTCGTTTAATAAACAAACTTGTTTAGTTATTCAAGCTCGTTTCATTTTAAGAAAATAAATGAGCCGATCTTGAGCTTTCACGAGCATAATCGAGTTATGTTTACAGATAATTTAGTTCGAATAATAATTGTAGGGTTAATTCACAAATTTTGAGTTGATTATTTATTTATTTTTTAGTCACACAACTTGTAATGCTGCAGAACTTTTTTTTTCTTGTTGAATAGTTTTATTCACTGTTAGAACTCATTTCAATTAAGTATTTTTTAAAAAAAAAAATAACTTGATTTTACTGATGTTGGTTATGTAAGGTTCATAAACAATTCGTACAAACGTAATTATACGTAATCAGTATATAAAAGTTTCAATAAATTTTAAAAAACAAACGATGAAAGTAAAAAGTAACTAATAAGAATTAAAATCATAAATCTACAAAATTCATTAAAATTACACAAATGTATTCAATTGAAATTTCAAGTGACATTTTGAAATTTTTAAGATTTGAGATTTGTTAAAATTTCTCGATTTTGGAGAAATTTCGTGAAATTCTTAGTCTAGATGTGGGATTTGAAGTGAAATTTCGTATAAAAATTTTTGTTTATAAATCTCATCAAATCTTAAAAGTTTTAACAAATCATAGTACTTTAAGATTTTAAAAGTCATAACAAATGCAAATTAAATACACATAATTTGTAAAATTTTAAAAAATCTATAGAAATCATAATTAAATACACCCTAGTCTACAAGAGTGGTTCCAAAATTTTGAAACTATTTTAAAAGTTCCAATTCAATTTTGAAGGCACGAAAGTTTTATTAGTCGAGCGTGTGTGATGCACAAAACACAAAGAATCGAGCATTACAGAGTAAAGGATGAAGGCGAATCGCGTCTTCTTCTCATGGCGATTTCTATCTTCTTCCCCAATTCGCCATGAATCAGGTAAATCTCTTTGTTGCTCCCAATCGTCTCTACTTTATCGTTGTTTATGTACAAAAGGAGCTGTAGTTAATTTCAATTTCCGCGAAGAAACGAAGAACATTAGTGGGTTGGATGATGCTCTTAGCCTGTATGAAAACATGTCGAGAACGAGGCCTCTACCAAGTATAGCTCAGTTTACTCGGTTACTCTCGCATGTCGTCCATCTGAAAGAGTACTCTGCTGCTATTAACCTTTTCAAAGACATATGCAGTTTAGGGGTTTCAGTCAATGAATACACTATGAATATTGCTATCGACAGCTTTTGCCTTTCGGGCCGGGTCGATTATGGGTTCTCCATTCTGGGTTGGTTCTTCAAGAGGGGCTGTACTGCGAATAAATATACCTTCCACACTTTACTGACAGGCCTGTTTCGAGAGAAGAGGATTGACGATGCACAAGAGTTGTTAAGGAAGATGGTTGAAGAAAGGCTTTGTGAGCTAGGCGTTGTGACTTGTAGGATTGTGTTCGAAGGGCTTCACAAGGTCGGTAAGACCTCGATGGCCATTGAACTCCTCGGAACAATGGGAAATGGGACACTCGAGCCCAATGCACATATATATAGCATTGTTATTGGTGTATTGTGTAAGAATAGAATGTTAGACTCGGCCTTGGTGCTTTTCAACGAAATGCCCGAGAAGGACATCCTACCCAATGTCGTCACTTACAATTCCTTGATCGGTGGTTTGTGTAATTTCAGTCGTTGGGAGGAAGTAAAAAAGCTGATTAAGGAGATGATGTTGCTCAAGATATTTCCGAATGTGGTCACATTCGCCATCTTGATTGATGCTTTATGTAAGGAAGGAATGGAGGATGAAGCAGAGGATGTATTTGAAATTTTGAAGCAGCATGCATTTCCAAATGTCGCCTGTTACCGTGCATTAATGAACGGATTTTGTCTTCAAGGGCGTATGGTTGAAGCAGAAAAGGTAATCGAAATTATGAAGCAGCAGCGTGTAATTAGTGTCGCCTGTTACAATGCATTAATGAATGGGTATTGTCGTCAAGGGCGTATGGATAAAGCGAGGAATGTTTTCGATTCTTTGGGTTGTAGCAAGAATTGTGCTCCTGATGTTATTAGCTATGGCACATTAATCAATGGCTATTGTAGAAAGATGAAGATGGATGACGCTATGGTTATCTTCCGCGAGATGCCTCATAAAGGGATCAAGCCTGATGTGGTCGATTATACCACTATACTGAGGGGTTTCTTTCGTGTGGGCAAGTGGCACTTAGCTCTTGATATTTTTTATGAGATGCAAGCTGTTGGGCTAAAACCTGACTTCTATACGTACTGTAATTTGTTGGATGGATTATGTAGGAATGGGCAAGTCGAGCGGGCTTTATCGTTGTTGGTAGTATTAGAGCGCAAGGGACAACATCTTCATAATGACTACTATACCATCGTCATGAATGGTTTGATCAGGTCCAATGAGCTCAATGCGGCTCAAGCTATTTTTGGAATTATAGTTTTGAAGGGATTGGAACATGATGTAGTGACCTACAATGCTTTGATTAAAGGATGCTGTCAAAAGGGGCTATTAGAGGAAGCTAAGGATCTTCTTTTCAAAATGGGACGAGCAGGTTTGTCTCCGGATGAGGTTACTTATAACACTATTGTCCAAGGAAACCTAGCAGGTGGCCTATATGATGATGCAGAAATGTTTATAGAGGAGATGAGAGCCAAAGGTTTCTCACCAAATTCAACAACATTTCAGTTGCTGCTTAGGTTATTCGACTCGAAGGAAAAGAATCCCAAAATATTTAAAATTATTCTGAAGCTGGCGCCTAACAGTTTAAAACAAAAATTAGGGGCAGAGTAGATTCTTTGGACACTGACTTTTTGCAAAAGGTAATAATATTTTATGGTCCCTTGAATTACCGAAATAAATGATTGGTTTATGTTATAGCATTCAGTTCATGCTGAGAACTGGCATCACGTTCAATCGAAGTGGTTGAGTACGATGGTATGGTCCTTTTGGAGAACCTGACCAACCACCTTAAGAACTGTCATAATATAGTTTGATCAACGTGGTTGAGTCTGGACCTGTTAAACTAAAGAAATCATTACAAAAACTAGTCATGTCGGTGCTTCATATATTCTATAGCTGGAACAAACAACTCATTTTATTTGATAAACATATTCACCAATGCAGATGTACAATGTAGATGAAATGGTTAGAAATTATTGATTTGTGCTTTAGATCAGTTCATAAATTTTACTCAGGGTTGATCATCATCTGCTAAGCTGACACGATTTGGGGATGTCTTGTCTTTTGATTAAATATTGTAATCTTGTTTTGTAACACTCCCCTCTGTTTTTGTAATCTTTTGTTGCATGAAAAATTATTAATTTCTGAGTTTTATACATTGTGACGTTGAAAAAATAGGAAGTGTTAGATGAACTTTCTAATTTCTATTCACCTTCCTTTAAGTTTTCTATTATAACAGTTGAGGAGTTTATTTCCATTTATTTGGATGTACTTGGCATTGTTGGAATGTATCCTGGATAACTAATCAGTATTACAAAATTCTCTTCCAGCTCTTAAAATTTACCATGACACTCTTTCTTCCCAGGTTCAGGCGTACACCTTCTTGAATGAGAGTCAGTTTTTGCACTTCGACTACAGCCTACGCAGGTTCACCCGTGCACCTTCCGGAATGAAAATCAGGTTTGCAGTTCAATTTCACCCAAGACCAGTATAAGGAAAACGATTACTGGATAAACAAGATTGGATTTGATAGGGCTCTTTAAGGACTTCATGGCCAGCCTCTATCAGTACAAAAGATGGAAGAGCCATTTCTCGTCGGCAGAGTAAGTTGCATTAAAACTTCTCGAAAATATTGTTACTTTGATCTCAAAGTTCAGGGACAACTGACCTTTTATATTCTTTGGTTATGCTTTTAGGTTTGTCCAATTGTGGCTCTCAATGATTGACACCTGTCCCACTACATTCATTTCGATGTCGTTTTACCATCAAAACGGTGTCGTTGTATGCTCAGCCAAAACGACGTCGTTCTTTAAAGGATTCGGTGTGACGGCCACATGTTGGTGGACATTTCAATTACCAATACATCCTTTTTTTTTCGTTTATTTGCTTTCAGACAAATAGTGTTGTGAGAAGCTGACCGGTTCTGGTCCAGGTTCCTTTTTGCCGCCTTTCTTGCCACCTCTTTTAGTGCCTTTTCTGCCTTTCTTGGCGTTTGATTTCTTTTTCTGAGACTTGGACTTTTTCTGTTTCTTATTTTTCAGTGGGCTGAGTGCTGGGGGCGGTGGGCCATGTGTTGGTGAACCAGGTGCTGAGGAAGGTGGGCGATGCTGGCATATCTTGGTATGTGAATCCCGAAGATCTTCTGTCGCGAAAAAATTCGCGCAAGCACTACACTTATTGTTCAGTTTTTTATATCGCATGGTGCGACGCAATTGTCGACCAGTGGTGTGCCATGCCACTAGGACCACTCTTCTTTGCAACACACTTCGGAAAAAGGCAATATATTTTTCTTCCAGAAGCCTTGGGAGGCGAGTTACCAGACTTGTTAACTTCCTCAAGACGCACTTTTTGTTTTAGTTCAAGAGATTTTTTTCAAGTTTATTAAGCATATTTGCTCATCTTCCAATTGAGCAAAGGCGTCCATATCCCCTCACATAGATTCTCAGCATGCAGCTCCACTAGGATAACTTTGTTTTCTTGGATCTTTGTTTCAAGGTCGGCTACTTTGTTTGCAAGCTCCACTAGGATAGCTTTGTTCTCCGGGAACTTTGCTTCAAGGTCGGCTACTTTGTTAGCAAGCTCGTGATCTGGCTGAGCAGCCGTGCAAAGGAACAACCTTCCTATAGATATAATATACATATATGGACAGAAACAGAATATAATAATGAGAGCACTATATAGAGCACAGAATATAGAATAATGAATCACAGTGTAAAATAATTAAGACACACATATATATACCATATCAAACCTTAGACAATACCACTTAGGTACAATACCTGCGAATTGTTGGGCATACTGCCTCCTGATGGCTGCGGGTTGTTGGGCAAACATTGAGAAACTTGCAACTTGCAATAAAATGTCTTATTAAATAGCTCGCAGAACATATTTGTGTGTGTGTGTTTTGTCATTTCATACTTACCATTTAAACAAGATACAAATATAATTCAAACATTACAAGAGATACAAAGATAATTCAAACAGGTCATTTCATATTGACCTATAGTCACACCCTTCAATTAACTTGTCATCTACTTTAGACAAGTCTGATTAAACTTCTCTGCCATGAAAAGTACTTAAAACAATAATTCAATTTATGGAAATAAAAAATAGCACCACCTCACCTATTTTGTATTTCCAGAAATTGAATTATTGTTTTAGGTCCTTTTCATGGCAGAGAAGTTTAATCAGACTTGTCCAAAGTAGATGACAAGTTAATTGAAAGGTGTGACTAGGTCAATATGTATTGACCTTGTAACGTTTGAATTATCTTTGTATCTCTTGTAATGTTTGAATTATCTTTGTATCTTGTTTAAATGGTAAGTATGAAATGACAAAACGCGCACACACACAAATATGTTCTGCGAGCTATTTAATAAGATGTTTTCTTACAAGTTGCAGGTTTCTCAAGGTTTGCCCAACAACCCACAGCCATCATGAGGCAGTATGCCCAATAATCCGCAGGTATTGTACCTGCTTTAGTGGTGCTTTAGTAGTACTGTCTAAGGTTTGAGATATGTGTGTCTTAATTATTTCACATTGTGGTTCATTATTCTATATTATGTGCTCTATATAGTGCTGTTATATTCTGTTTCTGTCCATATATGTATATTATATTTATAGGAAGGTTGTTCCTTTGCACGGCTGCTCAGCCAGATCACGAGCTTGCTAACAAAGTAGCCGACCTTGAAGCAAAGTTTCAGGAGAACAAAGCTATCCTAGTGGAGTTTGCTAACAAAGTAGCCGATTTTGAAGCAAAGATCCAAGAGAACAAAGTTATCCTACTGGAACTGCATGCTGAGGATATATGTGAGGGGATATGGACGACCTTGCTCAATTGGAAGAGGAGCAAGTATGCTTAATGAACTTGAAAAAATCTCTTGAACTAGTACAGAAAGTGCGTCTTGAGGAAGTTAACAAGGCTGGTTACTCGCCTCCCAAGGCTTCTGGAAGAAAAATATATTGTCTTTTTCCGAAGTGTGTTGCAAAGAAGAGTGGTCCCAGTAGCATGGCACACCACTGGTCGACAATTGCGTCGCACCATGCGATATACAAACTGAACAATAAGTGTAGTGCTTGCGCGAATTTTTTCGCGACAGAATATTTTTGGGATTCACATACCAAGATATGCCAGCATCGCCCACCTTCCTCAGCACCTGGTTCACCAACACATGGCCCACTGCCCCCAGCACTCAGCCCACTGAAAAATAAGAAACAGAAAAAGTCCAAGTCTCAAAAAAAGAAATCAAATGCCAAGAAAGGCAGAAAAGGCACTAAAAGAGGTGGCAAGAAAGGCGGCAAAAAGGAATCTAGACCAGAACCGGTCAGATTTTCACAACACTATTTTTTCATTTCATTTATTTTCACAACACTATTTTTTCATTTCAGTTTTATTTTTTCGTTTAATTTCTTTAATAATTAGGCGAAGTACCAAAGGTAGTTGCATATTAGCCGAAACTCACAATCCCATGGGTTTATTTATGGAACGGTCCTTGCAGCAAATGGGTCATCTGTAGCCTCGTTTTTGGCGCTCCATCTTGACGTGGGATGGACACGGGAGTCTTCGACTAGGCTCAAGGATGAGTTTGAGTGAACGGCGGCCCCACTGCCTTGTCTCTCGAGACTGTGTTCCCCTTCATATGTTGCACAGAAGTCCTTGGCGGCACGGGCGAGTTTCGCTTTCGTTTTATGGGCCTGTTGGTATAACAAGAGAGAGGGACTTGGAGTTTCACTCGACCCAACTTAGGTTAGGAATAATTATCTCTGAAGAATTAACAATAGTGATTTTATGATCTATTGAATTTCATGGACTGCTTTAATTGATAACATATTATTAACTTAAATAAATCAAATAAAAAAAAGGAAAGAAATATCTTGAAAATGAAAAAGACCAGGGTTGTCGTACCATTTTTTTAGCCTTGAAATACTGACCCTAGCTCCTTGAGAGGACATGTCAACAAATAAATATATGAAATTTGGTACGTCCATAAAAGATGCAAGCAATAAAAATCGTCACACTCACAAGTATACTTAATTTTTGCCCCACGATTTCAATAAGTCTGAGTTACGGTGCATATTGGGTTTGTCCAGAAGCGCGGACTCAATGAGTGCTACGTGCATGTCATTCATTATAATCCGCTTACATTTTCTTTGCTGCTTCTCGTCAGAATGTGTGGCGTTGGCGTTTTCGTCATCCAGATATCCGTACACTCGACAAAGGTCTTTCCTCGTGTGAGACTGGAATTAGGCCCACTTGTCTCTAAAGCCCAAGCATCCCTCTCGATTTCTTTCAAGTTTATTTGGGGCCCATAGGGCTTACCCCTATCCATCATCCAGGATTTACTTTCCCCGTCAGTGCATTGCTCTACCCGAGTGCCCTTTTTCACAAGAAGTAACGGTATCCACTGTGGCCTCTTGCATCTTGACATCATTATTGCCAGGACTTGATGCGACTTCATTATGAAATGGTAAAGATCAGGTCCCTGTATTTCGAGCATCCTTAAGTGCAATAGTAAAATAATTTAATAAAATGTTCTATATAGCAGACTGAAGGGCAATTAGATTGTCATAGGTGCTTGCATGTAGAGTTAAGCCCGTAGACATTTGTTGAAAAACAACATATAAAGATTCATAGTTGCTAATTATCCTATCATAGTTTTCATTTAATATCTCACAACTATTTCGAATTCATGTTATTTAGGAGAATATCAATCTACAATAATCCATCTAATGACCAAAATTCAGTTTTTGTGCCTAAGGAAATGTATATGTATTTTTTTTTTTTTTCCCGCTAATATCTTCGAGCAGTCTAC